AAAAAAAAAAAAAAAAATCAGCCGGGCGTGGTAGCGCATGCCTGTAATTCTGGCTACTTGGAAGGCTGAGGCGGAAGGATCGCCTGAGCCCAGCAAGTTGAGGCTGTGGTGGCCGGGAGCGGCCACTGCACTCCAGTCAGGGCAACAGAGTGAGACTCTAACTCAAAAAAAAAAAAAAAAAAAAAGAAAAGGCAACATCATCTCATAGCATTCCTGTGTAATTTTGTTCTATATATTTGGGTTTTTGTGTTACTTTTAAATGTATAGAGAAATTTAGCTGGTCAATATGCGATAGTCTAGGTTATAACAAATATTAATATTTTGATGTGGATTGTTTATAATTGTGAGAAAACATTTCTTTCAGGGATATTTGGTTTCCTGTTTCAAGGTACTTCAAATCTGAATTGTAATGCCATGTGGTTAGATTATATACTGAAGACTATTGGGATAGGGATTCTGCTTTAAAAATTCAGTTTGAAAATCTTTTTAAAGCTTGTCCATATTTAAGGTGTACAATGTGATGTTTTGATATATATAGTGAAATGATTACTACGACCAAGCGAATCTTTGAACACTTAAATGAACGCAGTACAGATTTTTCAGGACTTCTCCTTTTTAATAGTAAGAAATCAGATTTATTTCTCTGTATCAATAGAGGAAGTGAGTAATTGTCCTCTTGACTTTGAACAATCAAGGACAAAAAGACTTAAGGAAACATTTGTTAAGTATCCGCTGTGTGCTGGGTACACAACTTAATTTCTGGAGGCAAACAATTTAACTTTTAAATGTCGGTAAATTGTATGAATCAAAGAGTTCAACTGTGAATTTCAAAACACTTTAGTTTGAAAAAAATTAAATCTAATTTTCTATTACCTTTTTATATTTAAGTGACACTTTGATCTGAGAACATCTTTAACATTTATTTGTTTTTTGTTTTTTGTTTTGAGTTGGAGTCTCACTCTGTTGCCCAGACAGGAGTGCAGTGGCTGCTCCTGGCCACTGCAGCCTCGACCTGCTGGGCTCCGGCGATCCTTCCGCCTCAGCCTTCCAAGTGGCTGGAACTACAGGCGCGTGCTACCACGCCCGGCTAATTTTTTGATTTATTGTAGAGATGAGGTCTCACCAAGTTGCCCAGGCGGGTCTCGAACCCGCGGGCTCAGGCAATCCACTCACCTCAGCCTCCCAAAGCGCGGGATTACAGGCTGAGCCACCTAGCCGGCCATCTTTAACATTTAAAATAAATTTACATATGTATATTTGCTGATGTAGTCTTGAAATACCTCTAAAAGGACATGCAATAGATTAGCAATATTAATTCCCTTGGGAAAGAGGAACTAGATGGCTGTAAAATAGGTGTGGGACAGAGAGGTTACTGTATACCCTTTTATGCTTTTTGATCTTGTAATGACATTTTTTTGGTTTTTTTTGGAGTGGGAGTCTCACTCCGTTGCCCAGGCTGGAGTGCAGTGGCACACTCACTGCCATCCCAGCGTCGACCCGCTGGGCTCCGGCGATCCTTCCCCCTCAACCTTCCAAGTAGCCGGAACTACAGGCGCTAGCTACCATTCCTGGATAATTTTTTGATTTATTGTAGAGACAGGGCTCACCAAGTTGCCTGGGCGGATCTCGAACCCGTGGGCTCAGGTAATCCACTTGCTTCGGCTTCCCAAAGTGCTGGGATTACAGACTGAGCCACCTAGCCCGGCGTTGTGATGACATTTTAAGGTGCTCCTCAAATTGCTCTCCCACTTCTCCCTACCTAAATCACATTATTTTATCTATTTTCTGTGACCTTTCAGTTGTTGACTGTACTCATAGAGCTTCTGGAGCCTTGTGCCTGGGATGGAGACAAAATGGGGAAATGGAAAGAGATTTTCCTTCCTCTCCCTTTCTTCTTCCTTCTTTTTATCCCATTATCCCCAGAGTAGTCTATGTTATATTAGGAGTGGTGTTCACAAATAGATTCCGTAAGCGCTTGCTTGGGTTCAA